TTTTAATCTTATGGAAAATATGAAGAACGTTCAGAACAAAAATGCCTGACTGCTAGTTCTAAATTTCTAATAAGAATCTTTCTTAATTGGTTTTATCTCCATTGAAAAACACTGTTTGTCAACATCTACAAATGAATGCAAGAAGGATTAAAAGAGTTCCATCAAATAAGTTTAAAATAAGGTATTTTTCATGTGTAGGTTTCCATTTAAGAGTCTCATATTATCTAGTTCCAAGTAGGACACTAGACAAAAATGGCTTTGGTCAAAAGACCTAAGAGCACACTACAGTAATGTGCACAACTAGGAGTTGTTCAGCAACAAGAAAACAGAATACTGTGTTAACAAAGGCAAAAGTTAAGACTACAAACTTAAAAATCCCAGGCCTCAGCAAATGTAGTGCCTTTCACCTAAACCTTTTCCTCAGTGGTTTCTCACATTTCTTGATTTGCTAGCTTGCTCCTTTACTGCACATGTTCGTTGTAAAACAATGCGCCTTTTTCGGTCAGGGATAAAAAGCAGTAAAATGTCTACTCTGGCAAACAAAAATGGTCAAGAGCAACATGGTGAATTCTTATTTGTGAAGCTGCTAAGAAAGTCTGTTTGGTTTCACAAGCACAGCAGTACCATCTAGAGAGATGCTTTTAGTTCATAAGCTGCCTTCAAGACACTGTTTTTGATGAGAACCGATTTGCATACCACCAACTCTATCCTTAGAGTCTGCTAGTAGCTGATTTTGATCAGGGTGCCAATGGGCAAGAATCAGCATAATACAAAAGAAGACCTACAAAAGATAAAGCAAATCAGAAACCATTTTCAAAAGTTCAAAATAATTTTCAGAGGTTCTTTTTTGGTAAGGTCAATGAAGTGACCTTTTCATTAGGAAGTGATTTGCACCTAATCATTCACTACCTCACCTTTTTCTCTAGTAGGGCTGACTGAGGCCTTTGTGGCAAAGTAGATTTCTTCTGAAAAACACCTGTTTCATGAAAACATATTAGTGTTTTCAACATCTGCTGGCTTGGGTGGCTGTCTGCAGGGGTGCCAGAAGTCAAAGTGGTAGCAGCCCTCCCATCTCAATGGGAAACACACAGCTCCCAGATCAGTTTCACCAATGTTACTCAGCTGTGAAGACCCACAGAATTAAAAGAGTAATTTCAGTCGCTGTTCCAGGTGTCTCTGAGAGCATTTACATTGTGCTTTGGAGTTATCCAAAATGAAGCATATAGCAACTTCTGTTCTGCAGAAAATCAGGAAAGTGGGTTTTAAAGTTTGCAAGAAAACTGTCCTCCAAGCTGAAGACTGTCTATTTTGGCACATTCCAGACGTAGCCTACCTTTCAAATTGTAGGAAAAAAAATTATTCTCTTTACCAAACCATACAGTTACTTATCATGGCAAGATCTATGGAGTTTAAGTTTTAACTGTGATTTAAGAATAAAATTCCAATTTGGCCTACAGCTAGTAATTGCAAAATAAAGTGTATTTGCATATCAGGGCTGTGCCTGTGTGACACACAGTGCACTTAGTCATGAAATTCCTGGGTGGCCCAGGAATTTCCCAGCTAGTCTCTGCACAGAAGAGAAAATAGCCTGATTGGGAACAATGGGCCAGCTTGAGGAGAGGCTGCCTTCCACCTTCACAACAAAGTACTTCACTAATTATTCCAGGGGCTGTGGGACCTTCAGATGGTCACAGAGACGTCTGCAGACAGCTGTTGCTGAGCCAAGAGCAATAGACAGACACTACTGTATACTTCAAAGTGCTGATTAATATCCTGAGTGGACAATATTGCCAGACCAGGTATCAGAATTAACTAGAACAAGAGTTTGGGGAGTTCTAACAGCTTAAGCTGAAGACGTCATGCAAGGATGCTTGTAATAGAAACTTGCATTACTATCCTGTTCAAGATATCCTCATGTGAGCACTACCTTATGCAAACGTTCTAATAAGTGGAGGATGTAGGTTTCTTGTCGCATTGTGGTTTTCTATTATTATTTTTAATAAACAGACTTTTTCAGTGTCTGTGTAACACCATTTCTCAAGATGTCACAAATGTAGAAAAGCAAGGCTGAGTGAGGAAAGACTATAAAATTCAATTCTTTACCAAAAACTTACTTTGGACCCTAAAATGACAGCCAAGAATTTTACATGCTGAAAAATTTGGAGCATGTTCACAACTTTGTCCTTGTCTCCTCTGCAATACTTTTCCCAGCCAATAATGAAGCGAACAAATATATTTTTCTGTTTTCCTGCTCCCATATTCTCTTTTCTTAGATTTTGACAGCAGAGATTTAATTCATGAATGCAAAATATTCTCTCTTTATGGCACTAATTTTGTTACTGCAACAAACATATTTCCAAGAAAACAATATCACAGGTGGTGAAATTGATAATTTGTGCCAAAGGCTAAGGTCTTGTCTCTACTAATAAAAATACTAATCTACACTGAGTTTTCACTCCTTCTATGACCAGAAAATCTGCACCAGTGAAGAATCATAGTTACGGGGTTTGTTAGCACAGATCCAGAATATCAAAAAGAACCAACACATTTTCTTTTTTTTACAGGTTAGTTTGCTTCCAGTATCTCTACTAAGAACACTAAGTCTGGAACGTAAACTTGTGAAGTACTAAGACTTCTTTACTTCAACAAATCTTAGGTGAGCCTGACAGCATATATAACCTAACTAGCAAAAAAGAAAATGAGCACTATAAGGACCCTCACAAAGACTTTGATTGCCACTGTCTTGCAATGCTAAACCAAGAGAAATTTTAACATTGAGCTTAATGTGAATTGAAGTTCATATACTTCTGTTTAAACACAGATTAGGATTTCTGACAGACAAATGCCACTGAAAAACTGACAATCTAATTAATACAAGTAACTATCTTCCCCACTATAAAAAACGCTTTGTACTTTAATAGTTCAGTTCTGCTGAATAGACATGAATATGATAGCATATGTTTTGTGAAATCCAAAAGGAAAAGTCACAGTTTTTTTCAGGTGGTGCAATCATTTTTTTCACTGGCTATATATGCCATAAAAATGATTATAACATCATCAAATGGAAAATGAACTGTTCTTTAGACCTTTTACTTCTTTACAAAAGTAAAGAAAAAACCTGCCTTGTTTCATAACTTAGTTGTCCTGAAACACACAAAGATTTTCTTACCCCAAAGATATGAAGATATACGAAGTATAGCTGGGAGCTGAAGTACTTACAAGAGAAAGTGAAGTTGTACAGGTACCCACATGCTCATTTATTCTGACTACCTCTAGCAATGAAGGAGTTGCCTCTGGGCTACTACTCCACATTCCAGCCTGATAGATGGTCTTGGCCTCACCTCCCACAGAACCACAAGGCAAAGTTGGAAATCATTTGCCTACAAAACAGCTACTGTGCTCCTTCCCAAGGAAGAAGGTCAAAAAGAAACTGACTGTGACAAAGACTCAGCCTCGTGATTGCCCTGTTCCTGCAATACATTTCATCCAGTCGAGACTGAAAATTGCAATCCTACTCATAAAAACTCATCTCTCCAAAAGTTTCATGTTGCAGAGTAAGAGGAAAACAAATTAAAATGACCAATGCCTTTTCTGAAGTCTGGTCTTATAACGTGCTCTGTGTCTTCAAAGCACCTGTAAACATAATAGGATTCACAGGACTAAATATGTGCAGTACAAGGCAAAAATCCAAACTCTGTCACAACATCCAAAATCTGCAATATAAAATGAAAATGCAGGGTCTTCATCTTTGTACTGCATTTGATAGACTACCACAATGGGCACTTAATCTAGCGGCTGCCCACAGGCACTACTACAACAGAAATGTTTAAGAACAAAAGACATGGAAGAGTTTTCTGTATAGCTGAAATTCTGAAAACAATTTTCAGTTTGGTTCTAACTGTATATGTTGTTAATGTATACCTAATTAATTTAACAACGGTCACTCCAGTATTATGGTAGCGATTGGGATGCCATTATTTCCTGTAATGCATCATGTGACTTCCTGGGACGGTCAAATAATTTTCCACCATCAGATTATGAGAGACTGGAAATGAGACTGAGTCTTGAGGGTTGATGCTCTGTGTAGGTTCAGCTAATGCACTGTCTCATCTGGCTGGGGTGTCCAGGTCATTGGCTCAGAATACTGTTATCACTGGGTTTTCTTCCAATTGATACTAGCAAACCCTAAGATTTTGGCAAAGAGAGGGAATTTCCTAGCTCAATTTTCCATTCTTGTTTTTCCTTTTTACCACATAGAGTAGTCTACCTCTGAAGATACCCACCCATTGAACTGTACACATTGATCTCTATTCTCTACCTAGAGCACAAAATTTTGCTTTTGAGACATTAATGCCTGGTTTAATTTAGGTCTTTGTTTCACTTCCTCATAACCAGAAACAGCTCTCTGAAGAACTCAGTGAAAGTTTCATAAGGTTTATCAAATATTTCTCAATCTGTAATCATAGCCTGTAAAATATTCAGGAGTTTTCTACTTCCACCCAATGTTCTCTCTTTTTGCACAAAGACAAGGTTAGTAACAGTTGTATTAATTACACAATAGAAATGCACATCAAGTAAAATGATTATTTATTTAAAATATTTTAAAAGACTCTATACTATGCTAAACCTGTGGGAGAGAGATTATGATTTCTTACCAGTAAGAGTTCTGTCAATGTTACAGTGTAGTAAAAATCCTAGAATGATCAGCATTAAAAGTGCTATCCTTTCTGCTTTTGTTATTGTCATTTTCTTTCAGTTTTGGAGATGATTTCTGAACTGCAATGTAATTCTAGCTTTTAATTTCATTTTTATAAAGCTATCAGTATATATTTCAAAAACAGAAAATATTTTGTTGGTATTTTCATTAAAATAAACTGCAATGCTGAAGAACTTACATTAAAATATAGATGCACACTAGTAATTAAAAAATAATAACCAAATAAAAAGCACAGCAGAACACTTCAATTACTGATAGTAATCATAAAATAATCTTGTCCTACCAAGTGTGTCTCCAGGTACAGTTTAAGGCTGTCTGTCTCTGCTTTAGGAGGAGTCCAATTCTCTGTTGTTTCCATGGCTTCATTTAACCAGTGAATGAATTCATCCAGCTTGCTTACAAACTCCTTACCAGATAAGAAAAAAAGAAAGAACAAGAAAAGCATATTTGTTAGTAAAATGGCAATCTGAAAAATGTATGCTCCTTTTTTTTTCTTAAGCCAGGAGAGTACTGTACAGTAAATTTTTGCCTTTTGCAAGCATGCAAATCAAAAAAACAAATAGCAAGTGGCTTTCTAGGCAGAATGGTGTTTCTGGGGATAATCTAAGGTGGTATTTTGGGACAGGACAATGAGACATCCATTTGACAGTGATGAAATGTCGAAAATTATAAAGTTTTAGAAGATATGAGGAAGATACGTAAAAAGCTCTGTATACATTACAATAAAAATTGAACTGAAGACCTTGCATGGGGCAGACTGGGTATAGCATGAGCACCATTGGTTGAAGAAGTGCTGAACAATGCTGCATTAACAAGGCATACGTCAGTAGACTGAAGGAAGAAACTACTTGCCAGAACTTGGGTCTTGTGAATCATTGTGAACCTGTTTTGGTTCGTAGAATGAGACTCAGAGAGAAGAAATCAAACAGTACGTGAGGCAGAATATATAGCATTTAATATAAATAGTGCTGATTGCATATGAGACACACAGATGGTGTTCCTGAGAAGACAGGAGCTCCTGCTTCTCAGGAGCACCATTTATTTCAAGATTAGTACCAATTATATTGTCTGATTAAAAATAGTGCCCCTGAATTTACATGATTGAATGATAGTATAGATACATACTGAGTACAGATAATTTTACCAAGGTCTTATCTACTGCAAAGCAAAAGAGTAAATGGAATAAACTGACCGTGATGTTTATAAGCACCTTGAAAATTATCTCTGAAGAGGAATGTCCATCTATTACAAGTACCATAAGACGAGATTAAGTTAGGTCTAATACTTGTTATATTACTAGTTATTAACTATGAATTTCACAGCATGGTAAGAATTTGAATTTCCAGTTGGAAAACAACGTAGTATACACACTCAGTATCTCACTCTCACTGCTACATTTATGGAATTATTTCTGCTAATTATTAGTCCAATCAGATAGCTAAAAGCAAGCTAAGCATAAAACTTTTAAAGATTCCTAACTGACTCAGGAGCCCAAATCGCCTTCTCCAGAGTGGCACATGAAACTGAAATTCTAAACAAGACAGAAACAGGAGTTCAGCAGTTGGCACACAGCTGTGTTACACAAAGAAGTGCAATGGTGATAATCCAGACCAAGCAGAGCCACCTTTCCTTCAAAATTCATGGTACCGGAGTCATCATTATGGCCCAACACTGTGCCAAGAAGCAGGGTCGAATGATCAACTCCTGGCTTCCACCTGAAGTGGCAGTGCCTTCGAACCAAAGCTAGCCTCTGGCAGGATACTCCAGTGCATACTGCAGGCATGACAGCACTCACTGAGGCACTCTGAAGACTTTGTTTTAATTATTATTTTTTACATCAGTCCCCGTGAGTCCTCAGGATGAGGAGACTATTTTCCATGTCTGTTCATGGAATTCACTGTATCTCAAAGCATTACACGGAAGGAAACTGTAATCTGCATGTTTTGTTGTAGACTGATTACCAGAACATTCCAGAAAGAGGGAAGAAAGACAGAGAAAACAACCCAGGGCATACGGTAACAGTAACTGAGACAACGTGCCTCCACCCTGAGGCAAGTAGTGAAGGTAGCTACATCCCCACTCCCACAGCAAACCGTGTCACAAGGGGTACGTTTCCCACATCAAGCCATGGGACAGAGCGGAGGCAAGATGTTCCCCTGGCTCAGTTGCTTGCTTTCTTCCAGCTCGCGCTGCAGCATAAGAGATGCCAGACTGGCAGAGAAGTGGTAGGCATGAACTGAGGGGGAGAGGAGCAGAAGGAGTAAAGCCCTTCCAGTCTCTCCAATAAATCTCTGCCTGCATTTTAGCAATGTGCTGTCCTTGAGAGACAAAGTGATATGGTAACCGCAAAAAAATGAAGAAAGGCTTTCTCTTGTATATGCATCATGCATTTTAGGGAGACAGACACGTATAACATCTGCCTGCAGTACTTGCTGTCTGTATGTCTTCAAAAGGCTTGCACCAGTATAAAAAACAACTACTAGCAAGTGAGTTACTCTGACCTCTCAGATAACATGTCTGTGTTTTAAAGTCTTACTTCACATTGGTGCTTAGAAACTCCCCAGCCTGGCGCTCACCACCTCACCCCACTGATGAGGTGGGCTGCGGGCCGAGCAGGCCCTAGCGGGGCACAGGCAACAGCTGGGGGCTAGTTTGGGGGCCTGGGAAAAAGATCAGTAGATACAGCACCTTATAGAACAATGATGAGACAAGTTATGTGAGAAAAAAGACGTAACGCTTCCAGCACCAGTTCCACCTGGCACATCAGGATCGGGCCTGGGAACACGGTGGCCGAGGAGAGCCCGGTGGTGGAAGGGAGCATCGGTCGCAGTCAGCCCCGGCGGGTTTCCTCCTGCCAGGCAGCACAAATCAAATAACCCTCCTATTTTTCAAATGACGGCAAGAAAATTTTACTGAAACCATTCAGAAGGGCACATCTATACAAACCGAAAACAGCGGAGAGAAAAGGAAGGGAGAGGTTGGGACGGGAAGGCCGGGGCAGCGCGGGGCCGCCAGAGGAGGGAGC